GTTACTCTTACCAATGAAGCCGGATTCGCTTCGTAGTCGCAAAATATTATAAAATCATCTGTCTCATTAACCGTTAAGTTACTCGGTTTCATTTTAATTATTGGCGGATCTGTGACAGATAAAGTAAGAAGATATATTTATTTAAATGTTCAAATTGTTGATATAATTAAACTTAAACAACAATTCTTCTATCTGTCTTAAACAGATAACTTGTTAACTTAAACATTGCAAGTACACGAGTATAAACATTTTCTAGTGTGAGTCTCTAAACATTTTCTAACTTTGAATAATTATATATTTTCCAACTGTTCTTCTTATGTAAGATATATATATTGTATATATATACCGACTAAAGTTAAATTAAATGTACAATTTCGATCTTGCTCAGGTCACAACGTTACACTTTTAACGAGGCGTCTCTCTAATAGAAAATTGTACAAAACAAAATTTTCGTAAGTACGCGAGAGTGGCCTGTCACGACACTAGCTGGAGCATTGGAAACGAGCCAAACTAAATGTCTGGAGTTTCTTGTTTCCAATCCATGAGTAAGTTCTCGTTTTGGTTGCAAAGCGAAACTTTCTCCGTCATTTTGCGCTGTGACTGAAAACATCAGGGAGATACGTAACCGGCGCGTCCGTTTTGTTTGTTTTTCGTCGATTTTTGTATCTCTCTTAAATAAGAGTAATATGTCTCTCTCAAGACAAACAGTCTGCGCTTTTGATTTCAGAATTGAACATAACGCAAAAGTTTGGAACGATCGATATTTCATAAATAATTGTATCAGGTAAACAATTGTGAAATAATTTGAAACGTTGCTGACGCGTTGTTTTTTTTCCTTTTAATTGGGTTTGCGATTTCTCCAATAACTGAAAATGCCTTTATATTTTTTTCCAAATACTGCGTGCGTCGAAAAGGAATTGTATCTTTTCAATAATGTAATATCGACGTTAATCTAACGAAGAACGCAAGCGGAAAAACTCACGAACGATGTACGAGTTTATGTGCGAACTATTCTTTTATATTTTTGCTCCTTTCACGAGTAACACGTAAAACTGTTCATTGAACAGTGAAACGGGAAACATTTTCAATCATTTATTTCGCAAAAGCGGAGAACAAGTTGTCGACTGTGTNACAGCGAAGTAAGATTTTTGATTGTTCGTCGCGAAGTTACGTTAATTTGCATAGTATTATGTTGATGAATGGCGCATGAGTGCACACAGTTATTTATTTAAAGGATTTAGTTTGTAAAGACTAAGTGTATGCAAATGTTAATAAGTTCTTGTAGCTGGCAGTTTCACGAAGACGTAGAACCGCCGCGCGCACACTATGCAAATATGTGAATTTNAGTTACAATGCAATTTTGTTGCAACATTCGCTATTTCAAAAGACAAATATAATTATTAAAAATCAATCAGCATTGTTTCAGCATTTACTAATATTTACAAACATTAATATATAATTGCAAATATTCCGAATACTTAATTTTCTTTCGTCGTGAATTAAAATATTTTTTTCTTCGATTTATATTTACATATTTATATACTGCTTTTCCTATATAAAAAAATTAGAGAGAGTAAATAATGACAGAAAAGCGATTTTGACAGTCGTATATACTACAGTAAAGTCACTGACCTCAGTCACGTAACCTTGGTGGGATCACTGACCTCGGCCGCGCGACCATTGCGGGGTCACTGACCTCGGCCGCGCGACCCTTGCGGGGTTACTGATCTCGGCCGCGCGATCCTGGCGGGGTCACTAACTTTGGTCACGTGATTACAGTATATATGTATATACATGTGTGTGTGTGTGTATATTATATATAGATATAAAATATCATATAAAATATATATATTATTTTCTTTTTTATTCTTTCTCTCGGTTACGTGACTTTAGTGTTTCTACTCCTCTCTGTCATGTGACTTTAATCACGTGTTGTTTTTGCATTCTCCNCTTTTTCTTTTATTTTTCGAGTTTAATTTTCATGCGTTATTTCTGACATCTTTCATATGTACATTATGTGTATTATATTGTTTGTAAAATATAGACACTAGCAGTCATTGCGGTGACAGGTTGTGTTCACCGACACTACACGTTAAAATAAAAACACAATAACAGCATGCGCGTAGCGCACGTCTATATTGTGCTAGTAATATATAAAAGAGAAAAGTAATTGCACAAAAAACATATATTGTTGATATAAAAGCAAAAGGACAAAGAAAACGACAACAGTCAAANTGTTTTTGTGTGTTGCTCCAATTCTCATGTAATACTTACATAACACTTCGATCGTCTTCGTGTCTATCATTGGCTTTAGATCTTCGGCACGTGTAACCGAATTCTCGGCAAAACACTTAAACGTTCTATCGTTGTCGTATACGGATGCTGTAAANGCAAGGTAACTTATCGTGTCTGAAGTACCGTCGTCCTGTGAACATAATAGTTTTAAAATTGTATAGTTCTGAAACCCGAAGCTTTTTAGAATTAACAAAATTAACACTCAGGAAAACAATTATCTACGTCGCCAAATTTGCCTAAGCGCTCCAGTCAAGTGCTTAAATTAGAACGATATTTATATCAAAATTGACGAATGTTATTACAACGGCACAATCCTATCTTGCAATTAAATCTCATTTCTACAAAATATCTTAGATATACATATATTTGGACATGCATATATTCAAATATAAAAATTTTGAGAAAACTCATTAAGTTTTAATTACAACTTAAAAATCAATNCAACAGTCTCTCTTACCGTTTTAATGATTAAATGATCCATTTTTTATNGCTTTTAATGCGCGTGTTGCTTTTAATTTATGCATTTGGATATTTTTGTTTCGATATTCTCAATTAAAAAACAAAAATTGATTTTTATATCCAGTTGCGAATTTGCGCGAGCGCGCAAAACTCTAGCATGATAACATATCGTGTAAGTGGCATTCGAAAAGCATAAAAAAATATAACTTCACTATAAAATTTCATTTTAACGATTTTCGTATAATTGCGTGACGCGCGTAGCAGCGGAAANAAACAAACTGCTATTACGTTACATGTAAATAACGACGTGTAGCTTGTTTGTCGAGAAAAGTTATTGTACGCAGCTATCGTCTCCCGAATCTGTAATATTACGTATATGCGTGCAAAAGAGATTAATCAAGCTTAAAAATGTGATCCGTTTAATCCTTTTACGAAGCGCACCGCTCATATCGGTAGGAATTTGCTACGTGTAATTGCCCTGCCACTATGTATATGTAATATGTAGATGCACGCTATCAGGTGGAGCGTCGCCAACGGTCGCGCCCGCCATTCCCGTATAATCAGGCACTTAGTAAATAATGTTAATTATGATACCGCTACTTCAAATTGCAAATGTTAGAACAAATCGATAATCAAAGCGACTGGTTCGTTAATGAATTAACAACAATTTGTAGCTTTGCTGATATTTCGTAGCGATTAATTTTCAAATAACGTTGTACAACGCGTTAATTGATCACAAAATGAAGTACACATTGCTCTGTTTCATGTTATATCTGTTTCTCTCTCTTTCCTTTCTTCTCTTCGAGATAATGACTTTTAACAAAACCTGAACGTCACTCTCGACCGAAAAACAACAGCACCATATGGATACGGTCGCGATCGATTCGAAGTAGTTGGATTATNAATAATTTATTTCGACTTTCCGCTACTTTTCTTCGGAGCACGAAAATTTGTTGCTCCGCAGNACCCGTTCAATGAGAATTAAAATGTACAACACCCGTCGTACCGATCGATTTAGAATTGAAACGTAATTTCACGGAGAGTTTTACCGGGGCGGTGTACATCTATGTGTATACATATATATATACACATGTACACTCGCGTTGCTTTTACTCACAATCAGCAAATAAGTAAAGCAAATTAAAACTTTCAGGAAAGGAAAACTATTCTCGCATGTTACGACGTTATTGTCATAAATACTCAGTTAAGTACTTGAGCTAATTGCGTCAAAATTGTTTTGATTACTCAACAAGTATTTAGAACAATTATAACGTAGCTCTCAAGTTGCGAAGCAAAATTTGTCTATTTCTCGAATATATTTATAGAAACTTTATGCGCATTACATACATACACGTTAATATGAAACATACATGTATGTGTGTTTCTGTGAAATATCGAAACGGGGCTGTTTCAATAGCAATAGGGAAATTAGTTGAATTAGAGCGGAAATTATCTGCTTTGGGCATGCAATATCGCGGTGTTTACTCACGTTTTCATGTACTTTCGTCTCAAACATCTCGAATCTCTNATTGCTCTCGCTTACGAGCTGCGTTCCGTTCTGCCAGGTCACGTTGGCGGCGGGTCGCGCAGAATATACGGTACACTGCAATAAAATCTTCGTGCCTTGCACGACATGACCGACCACCCCTTCTAAAACGATCTTTAGCGGGCGCACTGCAAAGAAAATAGCCAGGCGGCATTATAAAAGAAGATGAGAATATTACTTTGCTTGACTAATCGCAATACGGCACGAGAAAGCCCTTATCAATACATATATTTAGTACAGTTCATATATTTGGTACAGTTTTAGATTTACTAAAAGAATATAAAAAGCTTCACCGTCCAGACTGAAAAAGAAACGAAACGGAAATAAACTACAAAATAATGAAAGAATTTTTAGACAACTAAATTTAACGTCGTGTATAGAATATTTGACTTGTCTGGCTTGTTACACCCGCTGTTATTAATTTGAAATAATCCACGCGTCATATTTGCCCTTGATTGCTAAATGTTTAACATATGCCGACATTTAACATGCATAACAATTTGGGTCGCGCAAACCAACTGTGCAGTAAAATTTAATGCATCGCGTTATTGTAATACAAATTATAAGGGTATTCCCTTCCCGCGTGTTGTGGCTATGATTAGGCATACATGAGCGTGTTCACAACGCAACAAAAAAAACAAATGATAAACACGTCGATAATCATGAATAGTGAGTTTAACGCTTAACTCATTCGCGACGATTTGTGTGTTTCGTACCTATTATACCTATTTCTTACGTTATCTCGTCCGTAAACGTAACAAACCGCAAGTACTCGTCCAAGCAATTTGTGTCCTCGTAACTTTTTAATACTAACGACTCGTCGCGCGAAACTTGTGTAGTAACAAGTTTCTTCGTGCTTGTACGTACATAAATATAGCTATATACGAAATGTTCACGAATCGCGTTTGGTAATTTCCATAGCTGCCTGGTGCCCGCACTAAACATGTCGCTGCCCTTTCTGTGCACCAGTTACCAGATATATAGAATAGAGCCGCTAGCAAGTCGGTCGTAGACGTTATGTAATGATTATTGCGCACTATCAGGACTTCGCATAGCATTGCGACGACATTATAGGGTCGATGTGAGTAACCAGGGAGTAGAATGTGACACAAATTGGATGTGAAACGCGCGCGCGCGCGCGCGCAGGAGAGAGAGAGAGATGTATCGGAGTATTGTATTAGCTTTTCCTTGCTCTCGATCCTGTTGCGCTTTAAAACAGAATCACGTTTTCCTCTCATAGTTCGTTTTCCTCTCATTTTACCTATTTTTTTTTTTATTTATTTACAATTACGCAATTTTTCTTTCGTTTCCCCTTAAAATATGCGATCATAATATATGACGCTCGCGGTTATGTTGTGGTCGTTGATGGCTTCCGCAAAGTTATGCGGAAAGCGCCGACCGATAATTCATCGACAAAACTCGATGAACGGCATTGAGTATAAGAAGAATGCGAAAAGAAAGACGCGAGATTCCGACCAGAAAGCAAATGGCGAATCCACTATCGGAAATTGCATTTGCCTTCGATTGCACTTCCCTACACGTTAAATGCAAAGGAACAGACGAAGATGGGAACGCAACGATGACAAAATGGGGTTTTTTGCGTAAAAATTGAAAAAACCGATCAGTACTTTTGCATATATCGGTTTTTCGTGAAAACTACGCTGACACATTTTTATACTGAAAAAATATGGGCGCGAACATTTATCTACGATTTGAATCCACTATGAATGATAGTGAAATTAGCGAGCACGTTTCATCGCATCTGCATTTTTCAAGAGTTAACGATCTTTGAAAGATAATTTTTATTTAAAAAATTGTGTATCTCACACACGCAATCTTTTTCTTAATGTTAATTTCTTAAAAAAACACACAGTAACAATAATAAAAAATATATTAGTTCTTTCGAAAACAAGTAATTTTGCAAAAATAAGTCTGCCATACCAAAATGAATAGGGGGAGATGATATTTTCTTTATCCGTAGAAATTCGCCATTCAACCAATTTCCTCTTCATCTGAAAATTNCTAAGAGTTCACGACCCGATAAGCCGACCGCGAGACTTTTTAAGTCTGTAGTCGATAGCAATGCGATTTCCTGGTTTTGTTTGCTAGCAAGAAGAGCGCCCCGTCTAAAAACTCCGCTAGGTGTCTGCTCGTGAGTTCGCATAACTCTCGCAACCTTGCTGCCTGAGACTTTCAACGAGCAGCTGCGGGGCCGTGAGATTTTCGCAGATATCCCGCAAGCATCTTACGACATTTCCACTTGAAATTCATCGCGGATTGTTAGAACCGACTCTCATCTCGGAAAAAAACTTTATATTTTCTGAACTAAACTGATTATCTACATTAAGAAATTTCAAGTCGTATTTTGCTTCAAGATTTGACTATATACATATATTGTATTATATATATTGTATTATACACAACTTTTATATATATGTATATATATTGTATTATATATAACTTAGAGTGTTTTTTTGTTTCCTTAGTATTTTCTATTTCTAACAATACTCGCGTTTATCACTTATCTAGTCTCTTATGATACTGGCAGCTCATTTTTCACGATACAAGATGCANGCGATCCGTGTCAACGTTGGCGGAAGCGTCGTACGATATCACGTGGTACGATGTTCTATAAGGTATAGTGCAGAACCGTCGCCGGGGAAAAAAAAAAACGACACAAATTGCATTGTAAACNAAAAAAGACGCATATTATTACGAAAATGCGCTATTAAAACTTTATTCGTCTTTTCAAAGTCCATTAACGCGCGCGAAATAAAAACAAATATACATATAAAACAAGATTAGTTAAATAAATTTACTGTTAAGTATATATATATATTGCGTGTAATGATTACATCTGACCTATATTAATATATTTCCGGCTTTTTCTCTGTTATATTAAAATAATATTTTAATGTGTCTCAATTTTCTTTCATATTACAATAATATAATATAAATTTATCTATTATATCTCATCATATATATATATATATGAGAAAGAGCATGCAATATATTTTGTAGTTTATTATTTTTTTTAACCGTGAATAACTATTCAGTGTAATTTGTTATATTCCGCATATATAAAAAGATGCATAATTTTAGTTAATAATATTTACTTAAAACGAGTAAAACGAGTTCACATTGCTTTCTCGTCGATATTCAGAGTTTACATCAATCGCGCGAATATAACTGGCCAAAGACATCAATAAACATTACTCGATAAACGACAAATCATGCGCGATAATTTAGCGTATTTATTAATCGAGATGGCAAGGATATTAAGCGTCACTTCGAAGTTAATATAACGAGCAGTTATATATTAATGTGCACCGAGAATTACGTAAATTTGTGTATATAATATAATAATAATATCGAGACGACATTTTGTGTGAGTGAACAATATGCACCGAAACTCGTGATCATCATCATTAACAAATTTCTAATTGCAAACGTAACCTACATATTAATTTCATACATTAACCATCGAGTTGTCCTTTAANCGCGCGAACGCGCGAATATTTCTCACGTAATTATTTCTATCGTACGTACGAATACCTTTTACGCGCGCGAACGATTTTGCGATTGTNCCGCGCTTAAATAAAGTTTCGCAGCAAACGATTATTTGATCCTACTGCGCGCAGTAATTACGTATATATAGGTATTTCAGTCGACAAATCCGCAAAGCAGTATACCTATATATACATATATGTGTCTCTCTCTCTGTGTGTGTGTGTGTATGCGTGCGTACGTAAGTGCTAAAGGAACGATTTAAATTCCTGAATATTTCAACCTCGTTTCCGCGCATTAAAATGATGAGAAAAAAATCGCATTTTGCTTACTCAAGCGGCGTATAAAAATTTACACAGGTATTTACGTACGCGATATTATTTGCACGCACGCACGCAGACGCACACAAAATATCGGACGCGTTGTTTAGTAAAATCTTGAGTAATTTATGATCACTCTATGTACTTTTAAACGGAAGTGTGAGCAGAAACAGAATTATTAAACTTTCTCGACGTTTCTATGTGGCAAAAGACATTTTCTTCTCGGCAACGAGATATTTTTCTACTTAAAGTGCATAATATATCGACGCGATTAATAGAAGCGATTCCATTAAGATTTTCTGTTTTTTTTTACGCCGCGAGGTAAACGACAATGAGGCAAAACACACTACTACTGTAATTTATGCGATAAAGAATGAAATACGTTTTCTACCCGAGCATTTAACAAAGCGCGCAATGTATCATGCGAGTCTATTTCCAAACAAGTAANTTCAACGATGTTGTTTAATAAAACATTTTGATTATCTGATTCTGTGAGAAATCAGAGGATATACGTATTTTACTTCGAACAATCTTCTCTTTTCCCGATTGAGACATTGAAAAATCGCGGTGTGTGCTGAATAATCAATTTCCCGATACTTTCACATTGTTTTAACGCGCGAAAAATACACTTATTATCAAACGAGAGATTCGTACCTTTATTGTCGCGCTAAACACATAAAATAAGATCGTATAAATCTCTTTACGTACATTTTTATTCCATACATTACGATTGTCATGGTTAAAATTAGCTTCGTTTGAAATGAGATGNATCGAAATTATATATCTTCTGTAAAATTCTCTTTAGCCAAGNACAACCATATCAATATTGTCAGTTTTCTCGTAGAAATTCGGTGACGAGAAGTTGNTTATGACGTATGCGTAATTCGCGTTCGTGCAGAAATTCAAATTTCTCGTGCGCTCTCTCATTTTACACACGAGACCTTTCCAGAGCCATAAAGTCTCGCGCTCGCGTATCTCCGCGTGTAAATCTCGGCGATTCTAACGCGGAGTGATTTCTCAAAGTGAATTTCGAATTTAGCGTCGATAGAACGCATTTGAATTGCGTCGTCAGGAAACGTGTGCGAAATAAGCTAATGTTTTTTTTTTTTTTTTTGTTCTTAATTATTTCTTTACTTCTGACAGCGTGAAACACAGCACATTTAGAACAAAACACACTCTCTTGATAAGTACATTGCTGTGTGTCGCGCACAGTAGGATGATGTCTTGATGTATCTGATGTACCTGAATTCTGGCAAAGTGTGTTCTTTGTACTTTTGGTTTTATTTTTATTTTTATTTAATATTATTATTTATTGTTGCGACTGAAGAAGACTTCATTGTAAGTTGAAATGTTTCGCTTATTATATTGTTTAATGTTTAATATACTTATTTAATACACCTACTTTCTTTGCTCGATTTGCGACCTTGTCTATCTTTCTTGACTGACAAAGTGTGTTCTGACAACATGTTTAATATTAAACGCGTGGATGCGCGATATAATGAGCCCGTTTTATAATTTGTAGACTTACGTAACTTTGTTTAATATAACACAAGCGATTTGGGAAATTAGATCATTGCAAATATACTTTAGCCGAGAAAAAACAGTGTTAAATATTTAGAAACGTAATATATAAAATTCATTTACAAATATTTAATAAAAACAAAGTTACATATGTACAGTTTGCGAACAAGTGAATAATAACCAGCAACAGTTGTTTTTTATTGTTAGGAAACATGTGCAAGATTTAAAATAAAATTATTTATTATCACCGTGCGATTGTGTATGTCCAAGATTTAAAATTACACAAACATTACTTGCTTGCTAATTAATGTACTCCGGTTTTATAATCAGATTCTGATGACCGATATTCCGTGAAAGCAGAAATGTCGAATCTGAAATGTGTCTTTTATAAAATGATTATTAATAGCGATAACTCATTCATAATTTTTCGTTGCTAATGAATATCGACAAATTTCACGTTTTGCTTGTCTGGTGAAAAACCAAATTTATGAAAAATTAACGAGTATATTACTTTCTTCTCCATTAACGTCATTCAAGCGCGACTCTTAACAAAATCTTATTTCTGTAATTTACAATATTACACAATTTGCTCTTGAGATTTTTTTTAAAAAAAGAATCCATTTCCGGAAACTTAAAGTATCTCAAATTTGTAAAATATTCTACGTGCAAAATCTGTCTTTTTAGATTTTTCATTTTTTTCAGACACATTGATACAATACCTAGTTGTAGTTATCCATATTCATATCTCGACGGCGAATTTAGCCGACATACTCGTGGTTTGATTTAATGAATAAACGATATATAGCCAGCGGATGTGTTATAAATGTAGATCAAAGTACGAACATTTGTGTGTTAACCGTTATTACTGTATATTCGTATCAAGTTTGTACAGACAGTTATCGAGTTGCATATCGCGTACAAATTACTCTGATCGAAATTGCAGTCGATCCGAGCATAATTTCCTTCATCAATGGAACATGAGATAATCNATTTGTGCGTAGACGCGTCTATGTCAGAACGTGCGTAATAGCCTGCAAAANTTGGTTACCCGTATCTTCAGAAGATTAATTCGCGCGAATTCTGTATGTTTACAACAGTATATTTCTCACGTACCTAATTAAAAAACAACTTTTTAGAAACGAAATTTAGCGGCAGTTTTCCCAGTGAGCAAAAGCGTCCTCTTTACTGAATGAATATCTTTTTTTCTTGAAAACAAAAACGTACGCACTCACCTTGCACATCTGGTTTAATATCAACGGTAAGTGGCTCCACGAGAGCAATACTGTTGACTTTACACGTAAATGTTGCACCTAACTCTTCGCGAGTAATTTGCATTTCCAGCAAACTACTGCCGGTGCCTATTCCAGTGTCAGTGACGGTCGTCGAACTTGTCGCTGAAATGAAATATTTTACGTTCCTTGAAATATTAAAAGAAAAAATGGAAAGAAAGAGATATAATAAAAAAAAATAATATTAATATTAGAAAATATTTTATACACTCTTATATAAAAACACAGGTCTCGCGAAATAATACGCGTGCACACAGTAATCACAAACAAATATAATTTTTGTTTATAATAACTCATAATTTTATTCTCTTTGTTTTGCGTGTTTCAAACTTTCTAAAAGTATGTTTAAACTTGTNAATAGATTTTGATGCATTGTCTCATGAACTTTGGCGAGGGCAACTTTAGTAATACGTTGCAAATCTTTACCTTCAAGTAGTTGGTCGCCTTTAAACCACTCGACCCTGGGTACAGGTTTGCCTTCGCCGCTCTCGCAATACAAGGATATCGTTGAACCCTCGTTTATAGGCCCTAAAGTGGCACCGGTACTCAAGGTTTTCTTTGAATTTTCATCAATAACACGAACGGACGCTGGTTGAACTGCAACATACGCAAACACATTTATTTATTGCAAATTCTTCCGCTTCATAAAGATATCGCAATTTATTTTTGTTAATTTGAATATGTGACATGTACATGTTTATATATTATTGTAGCAATTTTTTTATATAGAATTATGCGGTATATCTCTTACAAATATTATTTTCGTATTATTATTTTCAATAAGATTGTGACAATATTCTATATTACACTAATATATTATAAAAAATGAGCTGCAACTTTCTTAAACAACGAGCAACAAGCTTCTGCTTTCACATTGAAGGCGAATAAGTCTTGACGCAATTTAGTGTAAAAATTGACTAGACAAGTAAGTTTTTTAATATACTTAAAAATATGATACATATTGACATAATCCCGTAACTTTTCTAAACGGTAAGACAACAAACAGAATCGTGAATCAGTCAGAATATATTTACCTTTGTTTGATAAATCATTTAATAAAATCAGATTGGACAGATTATTGTGTGCGAAAAATTTAATTTATTGTTGATACTAGTATGTGTCACGTTCAAATAATTGATCGCAATAAACGAGATTCATCACATTTGTGAATATTAACTAGACTTTCATTTGATAGCTTCTTCCTGCATTTAATATTTTGAATATTCTAGCTTATAATTGAAAATAAAAAAATAATCTCTTATCGGATAACAGTGTCACACAGAGCGATACATTTGCATAATCAATTTTAGATTGCTTTCTACTTTTTCTACGCTTCTCATACTGTCCTTCATCCATCACATTTTATTAAATGTAATAGTTTGAAGTAAATATTGTCATTTAATAAAAGTTTAACGTTATTGTGCTTTATAATATTTAACTCTCTTATAAAAGCGTAATGTAAAACGATTTATTTATATAAGATTAACCGTGGTTAATTTTATATAAATAAATAATTTAATATGTGAATATATCAAAGTCAATCATTTTTAAATTTCTATGTGAAAACATTCGCGTCACACGGCAAAACAAGTAAGTTAATTATCTTCAGAAAATTGAACAAGGTAGTCTGACTAAGGAACAAACGAGACTCGGGCGTTCTGTAAAAATTCATCTATATTGGCATTTACTAACCAGGCTGCTCGTCGTAATCGTTTAATACGAAAAGAATGTGCGACCAGTCCTTTGTCGATTAAAACTCCGCTCCTGTTTCCGAGGATGGCGGAAACGAGATTGGAAAGTAGGTAGTCCACGCGATTGCAAAAGATTCGGTGGTATCTTACATACGTGCACCGAACTACCGGACTCTGTTCTCGAGCAAATCGAATTCGACAAGGAAATTGAACTGAAAATTCTTTCCTCCGGCAAATGACAACGTTTTATCCTTGACGGGTGAAATTTGCAAAAATTTACGTTTCTCTTTCTCTCTCTCAGTCGGTGAGACGCCAGCTGCGTNAAAATCGATTAATCTGACAATATATGACTCACGCCGGTAGAAATATTCAGGCCATTAGCGCAAGTCAAAACGAGAAAATTATTCGATATATGCGGTAGTAATATTCCCGTTTTACATAGTTCGTAATTCGAGAGTGGTCACATATTTCGACCGTTTTTTGCTTGATTGCGAGCAGTTCGCAGCGCGGCGAGAGTTGACCAGCGCGGCATAATGAATATTGAAAAACGTATTCAAAACGACTACGTCGAAGAAAATGTGAACGGGGAACAATTTGGTATGCTAAGTAAATTTACTTCGCAGACGTAAACACACAAAACTGAATAATTATTTNGTCGCGATCGATAAGATCNAACGTTGGGGAGAACGCTTGACAGCTTTCAANAAAACGTNAACAAAACGTATGCACNTTGGGACACGGTGGGACGGCGCCTCGTTCAATTGGCAGCTGCGGCNAAATCCGATCTTTTTAATTGCAAAAAATTCGGAGCTCTCCGAGCAAAATCCCTTTTTCCGCGCGCGCATCGCTGGTCAGCGCGGCCGATTTGTCATTGTCACGCTCTGCCATTTTCAGAAAATAACGATGAAAGGCGATCCGGTTTCGCGCGCGAACATTTCAACGGCGGCGCGCTCCAGCACCGGCGACGATAAACTTTATGAATAATATACTTGAAAACGACTTTTAAAGTCGCCTCAATGACCCGCAGCTACGACGGCGCAACTTTGTACCGCGCTACTATGGAGAGAGATTACTACTTCGAGAGCGAGCGANACGCNCAGAAGCGCCGCGATCATTAGATCGTAAGTAGCTTTCGCGATTTTTCAAAGAACGCAGCTTCTAAATTCTTCCAAAGAGCGTTTCTTTATTTGAAATTGGCNTAACTTGTAGCAAGCAAGCACGAAACTTCGCTCCTATTTGTCTTTTTTCATCATTCATTTCTCCGGTGTTTCAGCGCGCGATGCGATCTCTTTGTATCAACTCTTTGCGACTTTCTTGCAAACGCGCGCGTAAAAGCTATATATAAATACATCCCCTTTATCCGTACCAAACTGCGAGATGAAAATTTATTGACATCCATCGGGTTGTATCTATTATAGCCGCGCGATACCGCACTAATGCTCGTGCANAATGCGAAACAATTGAACACAATTTCGCCTTAATATGAATATCTCTCNGATGCATTGTCCGATTGTCGCGATCTTTCGTGCGTATCGGAAAAGGATGGGTGTGTACAGATATATTCCATTGTTCTCGCAGGCGAACAGCTTACATTATCGTGTTACATGTACGAGCACAGCCTCTCATCCGTTGATTCCTCCTGACATGTATGCAATTTGCTAATCGCGCTTAAGTTCCAACTAGATCAAATGGCGAATCGAACCAGATGGAAATG